TTCCTTCATTATCAATTTTTATTCATAATTCTTGTAAAATTTTTTCTTATATTCTTTTCCAAGCCCAAATTAAAATTTTTTTTTTAATTTCCAATTTTCACATTTAAATTTAGACAAAAAATTTAAGGCTATTCCCTTGAATTCAAACTCTCTACAAATAAAATAGCCTTAACCAATCTAGAAGAAGAAAATTATCATTACATCTACCTAATATCTTTCCCATAATATCTAATTTCACTAAGTTAAGCATTTAATATTCAATATTTAAATAGTAACTCTTTTTCCAATAATTATAGCCTTATGTAAAATAACAATATGCTAAAAAGCATGCATTTGATTTATACATTTTTTTATTGATAATAGTTTGGATTTTTGGGTTTTTCTCTTTTTTTGAATCACATTGTTTCAATGCTTCATCAAATCTACTCATTTCTCCATTCTATGAATACAATACTTATAAGAAAGTATATTTTTAAACCAATTGTCAAGTATTTTTATCACTATCTGAGCGTAAATATCTAAATATTCCAATACTTCTTTAAATCTGTTGATTTATTGTATTTCTTCACCTAACATTATGATCACAAATAATTTTTTTACTTAATATGATGAAATTTCTAAGTTTTTTTAATTACTACTTCAGCAAATCAATATTTTGATTATAATTTCTTTTCCTAAAGCAATATCTAAATAGATAAATTACAATTTTCATTGCTTTCTCAAGTCTATTAATTTAATTCTTTATTAATGAAAAATTTCAAATTAATTATTATGATAAAATAATTTCATTCTAGATTATACTATTGTAATAGTACTAAATAGTTTTTCAAGATTATTCAAAAGAACTCTATCGTAATATTCTATTTTTTAGTCAAATTTATTCATTTTTCTTAATAGTATTAAATTCACTTTTAGTTATCTAATATATTTAATTAATAAAAATAGCTTTTACATTTATTCCATTTCCATAGTAACAGTCTAGATTATCTATGTTTCCTTGGATTGCATAATCAAAGAATTCTAGTGTTGCTACTAACTTTGAAATTTTCACTATCTATCAATAGAAGATTGTTCTTAAATAACATTTTTGTTAAAAGAGAGTATATTATACCTTTGCAAAAAGTAATACTCTGGATTTTTGTGATACATTATTCTTTTACTTCTAAAAACCTATTCATTTTAATATCTTTATAAAATGTTTTTTCTTCAAAATTAAAATTATTATTTATTCTTTTTATGGAATAAGACTCTGGATTTTTGAATATATCTTAATCCCAATATTCAATACTTCTTAAGATTTATGCCTGCTGGTACCTGAAATAAAGCATCTGCGAAAAAACTACCCTTTTTGTTTTCAACCTTTTATTTATATTTTTTAAAATCGACGAGCCATATTATTCCATCTTTTTTTAAATCTCTATTCATTTTAATCAATTAGAAAATTAAATTATTTCATATAAATTATGAATTTATCATTTTGTTGCTAATTTAAATATCCACTTTTTAATTTTAACCAATAATAAAGGAAGTTTTAGTATTTTTTTAATTCTAAATATTATATGCTCATTTTATGAGGAATAAGATTAATGAATCATATAATAAACTTATTAAAAATATTATAAAATTACAGATTCGAGAATATGATGCTAATTCTAAATAGACACATGATTTAATATTCAAAGTTTATAAATAATATGAATTAATTAGTTAGATTTACTTAATAAATATTAAAAATACCTGTTTATTTTCAAAAAGTTAATCAATTTACGAGTTTGCAATTTCAATGGACACAATATCAAATAATTGCCTGAAGTTGAAAATTTATTAGAATCTATGAATTATTAAGGAGTAAAAAATGGTTTATAATTGAGTATAAAGGATTTTAAAAGGCTTTTATATTTTGGATTAAACACTCTGAACCTGAATTATTGATGGCTTATTTATATATAAATTTTCTATTGATATTCTGGATTATCTTGAATAACTACTGAATATTAAATATTTTAAGTAAATGTTTGTTGGAAAATAAAAATATTAACATTAATTATTTTTATGGAGATAATTAAAAGAGTTTTTAAGAAGAGATTATATGCATATCATTCATTAAGAGTTAATATTTTGAATAAAAAAAATTATTTCAAATATAGATTAATTCATTTAAATATATTCAGTAGATAGAAACAATAAGATTTTAAATTAAAAGAAGAGACTGAAATAGATAAAATAGGTTATACAAACTTAGAGGAAATAAAAATAACCATAATGCTTTTCAGACATAATTAAGAATGAATTAGAAAAGAAAAATAATAGATGAAAAAATTATTGTTAATTCAAATTTTATGAGCTATTGAATACAAGAAGATAAGCATCTCAAAATAAAATAATACATCTATAAATACCTTCTTCATTAATAATAGTTAAATATCAAGCATTATGTATATATAATATGTTTTATCTACAAGAAGGTATTGATCAATTATAAAAGTTACAGAAGCAGATAATGTTGATGATTAACATAGAGATGCTGAAGAAGCTTTAATCTGAGTCGTATTCAAAAATGGTCTTGAATTATATTTTCCAAGAAAAATAGTATAAATGGTAGATAAAATGGCAAATTAAAAATTTTTTATTTGTTTTTAAAAAACCTGAATGTTGATTTACAATCGATTGTTAAAGTTAATTTTCTAAGTCTCGAATAGTTGCATCACTAAAAGTTCAATTCTTTTGCTGTAAATTAAAAACCAAAGAAAGGAAAAGATAATAAAATACTAGGAGTTGAAAACAAAATCTCATGAAGAGGCTTAAGAAAATACAAAATTTTTCAATTATATCAAACATTTATAGATGCAGTTTAGTTAATTAATAAAAAATTTTGCCAGCTTAAGACAGCAACAGGATTGCGGCTTATCTTCATCGAGGCATTTTTTTATTATTATAAATACATTATGCTTTTATTAATTTAAGATGAAAAAAAATATTGTGAAATAATTTATTTATTATTCAAAATGCTCTCATCGATTAATAAAAGGAAGTGGTTTTAATTTAATAATTCCAAAGATGAATTAAGTTAAATAGAGTTATTAATTAAAAAAGAATAAAATAAAAAATATGCTTTACTATCAGTCTGAAAAAGTGGATTAAGATATTTTCAATTATGACTTCATTTACAGTTTTTAGAAAGAGAATTCATCTTTTTTGAACAATATTCTGTTTCAATTATAGTAGGATTATGGTAATAACAGCAATATCATTTTAAATACTATGAATAGAGTTTGTCTATCATTTCTATTTGGCACAAGAATAAGATTTTTAGAAAATAAAACTAATGATATATATTATGAAAAATAATTAGTCTAAAAATTTAAAGAAAATGAGATCAATTCTTATTTTACTTATTAAATAGCTTAAAAAATGGCTTTTTATATTAAATTCAAAGCAATTGCTGATCCAGAAGTTTTCTATATTCCATAGCTAATTAATATAACATCATAATTCAATATTCGAATCATTAAGAATTCATTATGAAATATAGAATAAAATAAACTATTTTGAGAAAAAGTTATTATCATTAAACAAGTGTTATAGTTACAAGGTCCAATACCCAGTTTATTATAATAAATACGATTGTATGGGAATCTAATAGAAATTTTAAGTTCAGATAACAATTATCTTTTACTAGATAACTACATTTTTTATGTGTGTTTTATATATTCTCATAGGACCTAATCTTTTTTTTAAGAAAATAACCTTTAAATACATCTTGTTTTATTGTCAATATTCAACACAAACTTCTATATCATATTTCTTATGGAATATGTTTGATACAAACTTATCTTTTTTTTTATGACTTGTGCTCCTAAAGGGCAATGTTTTACAATATAATTTCTGATTACAAGTAAAGTTACTGATGTCAATTTTTCTTGATAAGGTCTAAATGATAAACTTTGATCGGTAAGAGATCATTCAACAAGCTCATTAACACATAAGCAAGCTACAATAATAATATTGAGACAAATATTAATACTCTTTATAACTGGCTATCCACTAAGGATCACATTTATATGATAGTTTTCAATATTCGCTACTTAATTCTTGTTAGCTGGATTTATATTTGAGAGTTTATTATAATTTGCTAGTTGATATGCTTATTACATATTAATAACTATAGCGTTTTGAAAAAGTATTGCAATAGAGTCATTCTAAAAAAATTTAAAAATTATATAATGTGCTTTAGAAATTTTAGTAGATCCACTTAACTTTTGTTTAATTATTAAGGATTTCATGTTAAGGTGAGGAGCAAAATGAAAAATATTAAAATTAGAATGATAAATATATTGAACATAAAAATACTTATTGCTAATATTCATAGATATTCTTGCGTTTCAATTAGGACTAAGTTAAATATTGTAGTAATCTAGAAATGATTTCAGATTGACATGTAATGTTTAAAATCTACTTGACAAATCAAATATTAATACTATTAATTGATAATTATTACAACTAAAAAAAGGAATTTTTAGTCCTTCTGAAAAAAAAATATATTTAATTGGAATTCATAAGGAGATCTTTTATTATTAAAAGAGTAAAATCAAAAATAATAAAATTAAAATTTAGATATTAAGAAAAAATATCTCGGTTATGCAATACTCCTATTATCGATACTCTATCCCCAATTCGGTTGACTTAAAACTTTGAATTTGATTACATGATTGTAATTGTGTTTTTGAATTACAATAATAATTACCAATTCTTGCTTACTATAAAGAAAAATTAACTTTGGACCTTGATTGAAAATCTCCGAGCTTATCTAAAGGTAATAAAGCTTGGTTAGAGCTTAAAACCTTAAGAATTTATCTATTGATGAACCAAGAATTATATGGATTCTGATTTTTAAATATTGAAAAAGTATTTAAAAGCATTACCATTAAAATTTAATAGAAAATCAAAATTAGAATTTCATTTGCTTTAATAAAAATGAATAATAATCTATAAAAATAGTTATGGTTGATGAAAAGTATTTAATTAAGAATTCCAAAAGTCAAAATATCAATATACCAAGAAATCAACATAAATTTGGTAATGATTATTCATATATTATTATAGAAATATTAGGATTCATTCTCTTGTTTGGAAAAGGGGTAGTCTGCTCTATAAAAAATGCTTATATATGGAATATATATAAACTTATGAATGGTGACTAAAAATGTGGAAATAACCTTAAAAGCTTTTATAGTCTAAAACATTGAAATCTATGATTTTAAAGAAATCCAGGAACACTAAGACATATAAAGACGAAGAATAATTCAATTTTGATAATTCGTTTACTATGAATGAGATTCAGAATATAATAATGATTAGGAGAATTACCATTGGCATTTATATATTAGATCTTAAATGATAGATTAAAATGGCATGTTTTTATGATTTAAGATGCTGGTATTATGATTTAAATAAGAAGTGAAAATGTTAAAAATTAGAATATAATCCACTTAAAGTTGACAAATATTTAGGATATTCACAATCATTTAGAAAATAATAATGATAATAACCATTTAATTAATAAAAATTAGTGTTATTGAAGGTTAACGTATTATAAGTATTACAGGAGTATTACTATCTGTAAATTGCTTTAATCAATAAGCAAATATTGCAGGAAATGATTGTTTTACTAAACAGAATTAATTGCAAAGAATTATACCCTAATAAACTTTTGCTTTTGTTTCAAAAAAATTCTGAAAAAATTTCTTATTTATGGAGCTCTATTGTTGAAACAATATGATTTAAACAAGTTAAAAGTCAGGAAAACTTTTCCTTGCTGAAAATCAGAGAAAATTGAGAGATGTACCCTTTAATTTAAACTATTAAAAATCGTAATATAAAAGTGAAATAATCCTCAATTTATTTTATTATTTAATTAAATGTAAAAACCAAAAATGATAGAAAATGAAAAAGATTTTTGTTGCTCTTCAGGACATAAGCTACCAGTCATTACAATAGCACTAGATCCAAAATTATCAAGGAATTAAAGACTCTTGTGCACAGAACGTTTAGAAAATACAGACATAGATGGCAAAGCGGTTGGATTAAAGAAAATGATTTAAATAATTGAAGAAAATTAAGTAAAGAAGATGGAAAAAGTTGAAAATATCATAACAAATTAAATAAAATTAATTGAATCATTACATAGTGTTCTTGATCAGATGAAATCACTTGTAATGTAAAAATTAAATTAATTGATTACTATAATTATTGAATGGATTCAGAATCTATAATAACAGCGATCATAATGTTCTCAATATAGTTTTTTTGAGGAATTAGAATTTATGGTTTTGGAGTCAAATTAAGCTGATTCCGATGTAGATATCCAAGAGATTTGGAAAACCAATCTCTGTTGGACTTCAAAATTGAATCCTAAATTAGAATAATTTAATTAATTTGATGCATATAATTAATGTCAACAACTGTTGTTGAGTTTAGAATTAGGTTCTCATAAAACTACACAAAATGATTAATAATAATAAATCAATATAAACAATATGAATTAAGAAATATAATCAGTAAATACTAAAACGAATATTCCACCATCATAAACTAATTAATTTAGTAATCAATTGAATGTCAAACCTTTCAATTATTTACTAATCTAAGAATGTTCAATTTCATAAAGTAATTGGTGTTTAGCTATAGCTATTGATAAAGATTGTTCAACATTGGTAGCTGGATGTGGTTCACTAATTAAAGTATTTGAATTCAAATAAGGAATGATCAAATTAATTTAAACATTAAATTAACATAAGGATTTGGTAACTACTCTAAACTTCATGCAGAAATCTAAATAGCTTATATCTGGAAGTTTTGATAAATCTATAATAATATGGAAATAGAATTAAAATAATTAATGGAGTTATTAATAAATATTAAATGGACATAATGGTTTTATCTAATGTTTAATAATAAATACTAATGAAGATCTAATTATATCAGGGAGTGATGATTGTACTCTTAAATTTTGGATAAATAAGAATGAATGGTTGTGTTAATAAACAATAAATGATCATTCTAAATATATATATGGATTAAGTTTGAATTAATAATAAAATAGAGTTGTATCATGTGGATATGATTAATATATATTAATAATAGAATAATCAGAATAGAATAAAGAATGGAAAGTAATATAAAAGATAACAATTGATAATTATGGATATCGAGTATGCTTTATTGATAATAATATGTTCTTATTTACACCAAATAGTAAAGAATAGATATCTGTTTATGAGATGAATAATCACAATAAATAATTTACCAAAACTAGAGATATTCCGATAAAAAGTGGATTAGACAACAATGCAAGATTCCCTTAGTAATATATAAATTAAAAAAGTATTCTTATAAGTAAGAATGGAGAATATATTAATTTGATTAGGAAAAAATAAAATGGAGAGTTTTTAACTGAATAATCTATTCATTTTGGAATTCATAATTTATATGGAACAATGAGTAATGACGGAGAGTATTTGATAACATGGGATTATCAATCAAAGTAAATACAAATTAGGAAATATAAAGAATAATGAGGAATATAAAAAATTATATCCATATATATTTTATAAATGATCAATTTTATTTGATAAAACGCCAAGTTTCAAGAATTATCTTTTAATAAATTTATTAGAATGAATCGAATTAAAACAATAGTAATTTTTTTTGAAAACAGTATATTTAATAGAAATAACAAATATTAAGCAACATCTATATAAAGTATAATCAATATAAAGTAATATATTTGACTTTTATGATCTGGTTAATTACTTTAGAAATGTAGATTATAATTTAAATTTATAATAATAATAATAATCGAA